CAGAACAGCAGGAGCAATAACATTCGATAACCCTGATGAAGGGTCAAATCTGCAGACTCCTCAAAGTCAGCCATCGGTTGTACCAGTCACACTTGGCCCTGTGTAATGTGCAAAGTGTGAAACTACAACTTACTTGCGATAGTCCCACAAGCACAGACTATAGCTCACTGCAGAAATCAATCGTGGCAGTTCTAATCACGGATGTAAAGAGATCATCCAACCTGCAAGCCAGTGAGTAGAATCATCAGTGAGACATTCTGATGCCATGCAGCTGCTAATCCCTTCATTTACTTTACAGTCCATTTTCCTCTTTGCACTGTGGATTCTATAGATATGTATTCCTCAGGCCGCAGTGGACACTAATACTTCTGGAACGCACTGAAGTGTAAAATAATTGAACGATCCCCATCCAAGACAGATGTTTTGTGTTTCTTCATTGGCCAGCCCCTGAGCTCCACTTTACACTGTATGTTGGAATTCACAAAAAGCAGATCGTATGTTTAGAAACTCGGCATGTATGAGACAGGCGGTGGATTTAAACTGTTGTGAGGCACTTGAAAAGTTTGCAAATGCTCAACAATCCAGGACCGGTCTTGGAGACAGCGGTGTCAAGACTTTCAAGAAAGATCCCCCATTTGATAGTGACGGCACTCTCTGCCTCTCAGTCCATGGCCAAGCGGCATCTGGAGTGGATTTTGTGCGAGCAGACACTGAGGAACATGATTACATTCAGCTAACTGCGCTCTAAACTGATTATGCAAGTGCCAAGCTAATGGACTACATTTGCAAGAAGAAAAATAACATTCAATCAATCTCAATTACCGCCGATTGCACCGGCCCGCGAGACAAGGAAGGTTGCCAGCTAACTACCCCTCTCCCTCCACCACACCACCCAAGTTCCTCCCCTTTTCCCGAACCCTTGACTGGAAGCCGGGGCTTGGTTTGGCCCCACCCATTCTGTCTGGCCAGAGCAGCCAGAGCCAACGAGCTGGATTAGTTCCACTCATCTCACCTCCAAACTAACACATAGTTTGCCCTGAGGCTGGCTGTTAGTATCGGAGCTATCATATTCACATGTACAACTGGAAAATGAGAATAGAGGGCTGAAGGACATGCCTATTCTGAAAACGCTTTACACAAACTAACAACAACAACTTTATTTAGAGAGGGGTCTTTTTGAGGGCATGTGGGTGACTATCATCAACAGAGCTGCACAAAACTCTTCGGTCCACATGGCAAAGAAGAAATTCAGGATCAGAGCACGAGAGCATGTTGGCAGAGCCTCTTGTACTTAGAATGGAATCTGTCATCAGAGAGCACAGTACACTGCAGAAGAAGTCATCACCCCCCCAATGTGTGGTGGTCTGTGCGGTTAGGGTGACTTGCTGGATGTTTCTGTGGTCTTTTGGAACATTCCAATACATGAGGTGGTGGGGTTGATATTTTTAGAAAGCCCTAATATGGGCCACATACCACAGACTCTCAAATTATCCCATGCAGCTTAGCTCTAGGTTTCAACCTCCCTTTTTAATTCCAGTAATTACAGGCTCCAATTTATATAGAGCTGTGCACACAAAGGGCCTGTTTAATGCAAACCAGTTTGATTCTGGCAAAGTATCCCAAGCGTCACCCACATCTTACACTACGTTTGTGCTGATTTGATGTATTTTCACAATTCAGCTATTTGTATCAGATTTATTTGGGGAGGAATAAATGCGTGGGGACTTTCCTCTTTTGTCCCTGCCTGAAATGCCAAGTTGTGGGTTACAGGCGTGGGCTAATATGGCTGCGTGTCTGCCAGTACCTCCACCAGGACAGTAAATTCAACGGTGCTAAGACTGTGACACCAAGTGCAGAGGCAGTGCTGCCAAGAGGCCTTACAACCATGTACTTGTTGTCCGCTAATCACATTTGTGAGTCATAAAATGCCTAGTCATAAAATGATACTTGTCATCGAGTATGCATCGTTGTTTATGCGTTCTTGAGTTTGGTTGAGGATTGAAGCGAGCTTATGAGATCTGCTCTGGGTGAGAATGCAGGTACGTTCTGGACAGTTTTGCTCCGAAGATTCACTGGTTTTAAGAAACATGGAGCCAACGTAAGAGGATTAAGTCGTAAAAATGATCATTCCTAGATGTGTTGTACATATCTAATCCCCCCCACAGACCGAGCAGCGGTATGACATATGTCTTCTCTTAAAAACTTGAGCGGAAAAAGAGACAGAAAAAAGAGACAGAAGAAAATCTGTCTCTCTTTTTCTCTTGGTCTCGCTACAAGGAGGAAATCACATGTATAAAGTGCACAGTATATCCTCTGAGGCAAAAACAATCCATCCCACCCAAAAGGTGTGAGGAAGGAGAGAGAGGTTGCCAGAATCTCATCTGGTTTAATGCAAGACTGTCATTAGAATGTGGGCCAGGGTTGGTCTGGCAGAAAGGTCAGCATGGATGTCATGTTGTCTATGGACTCTGAAGACAATCCTCGCTCAGTGCTCCATGCATTTTTAAGGGGCATGTGTGGCTGGGGATTTTCTGTTTTTACAGGCCGAACTAGCCTCCCCCTCGTCCCCTGGACCCGTTTGATGACATTAGTTGGAGCTTGTCTCTCACCTTCCCTTTAACCAAACCATGAACATTGATTTCTCTCTCATGTTGTTTCAGTATAAAGTCCTCAGAGACAGGAGTGCTGCATCCTATGCCAGTGGTTGCTATAAAGTATTCATAAAGCAAAATTATTTTATGGACAGTCTTTTTGAGGGGCTTTGCAGACCAATTTAAATTGAGCCTTTAATGTGACTGGACAGCACATTTGCTCACATGCCTTTTAATCTGTGCTTCTTAAAATATGGTACAAAATAAACCGATCTAAAAATGTGGACTAATGAAAACTTCTATTCTGTAAAAGAACAACTTGAGGCAAGGGAGGGGACGTAAAATGAAGTCAACATCTTCAAGGAGAAGAAATGTTTGTGTGTGTGTGTGTGTGTGTGT